TTAAGTATATATACATTTGCGATTGTACAACTTGGAAAATGAATTCGCCGAAAAGAGAACTCTTCGCTGAACTAATCTTTCTTATTTAAATCGATAGCCTAATATGTTTATTATATTTATTTTATTAGTTTTATTTTGAGTTTGAAGAGTATAATACTTGAGAGACTAGTAGGAATTGATAGTTTTGATTAGACGAAATGCTACTGGAAAAATATGTAAATCTGTTGATGGTTCAATTCAGTTTTATATTTTGGTAAAAAAATTTACAAAATGTGATAAACTAAGCATTCCTACCTATCATTTATCTATTACTCTTAAACATTAATTTATGTAATAATTATAGACTACTTGAGTTGTTTTAACTTATCAACAACCTAGTTCCAAACATAATTTTGAAGTTGCTTACAAAACTATAAAATATTAATGATAATTATCAGTATAAGGTTTTAGAGAGTGTTGTTACTACAACGAAATGATCCTCTAGTACTTCCAGGTTTTCATTGGTAATCTAACACTGATCGATTTATGAACTCAGTCGATATTAAAAATGAATTAATACGTTTATATGGCTATTTTTTTCAGTATGATCATAATTCTTTTATGAAAAAAACCCCTATGAGATGAGTATACAATTACGAAGAAAAAAACAAACAAACTTGGTTATAATTCACTTGGTATTGTTTGGCTTGTATCTTCCCATTGAGGTTTAAGACTGCAATTGATCAATCTGTTATTGACATATGTGCATACTGTGCGTATTGACTCGATATTACCTTGGTCATAGTAAGAATCATATAATTTTTCAAAAAAAATTATTTTATTAAACTGTTAATTCATAAACTCATTAAAATTTCAGTCACAGAATATTATATTGATGTACTTGATATTTATATAAATGGTACCACTTAGTTATAATAACTAAAATAGAGGCTATAAATTATGAACCCATTGTAATTTACATTTCTATACATTTATTATTCTTGTTTAATGGGTGTGAAATTAAAGTGAAAAAGCTTGAACCAGATTGCTAGGCGAAACGTTGGATTTACTTCAAATTCTTTCGCTGAGATTTTACAAATACATTCTTCCTCTTTAAAGTCAATTGGTTTTAGAATTATTAAAAGAAAGATATTCAGTATAGGGAATGAAACATTTTAATCCCATTCTTTAATTCAAGTATATCATCTATATGTTATTTACCATATTCATTTTATCTGAAGAAAAAAAATATAAAGAACTGAAGGAATAAACATGTTTTGAGTATCCGTAAATTACTCTCAACACGAAAGTACTTCTTTTTTTCTTCTCTAAAGAATCATTACTAAATACAAGGAGGTGTAATATTGATTGTTTATGATTCTATATGGTTTTATTTAGTGCTGTTTCTTCTTTTATAAGGTTTATTTCTTCACTAGTCATTGATGAGTTATGTAATCACTTATAACTTTTCATAATTTTTATTAAAGTTTAAACAACCAAACTGATTAACATACCTATAGGTTCTGATATATTCTATTTATTAAAATGATCTGATAAGTTGTCAAATAACGAGCTTCATGTTAATATATGCTGCTTAGATAATTGATTAGTAACAATAAAGTACACAATAAAACTTTTTGGATAAAATGAAAGCATCCATTAAAACAAAACCTTTTTAGTTGATCATGATTACATTTTGTGTGTGCAAATAGCATTATAAGAGGCTTTTAGCATAATGGCAATTACAAAATTTTATTTCTCATAGTAAGTTGATGAATACAACCAGGTCTGTTGTGAGATAGGAACTCACTGAAGACAATGGTGTACGGTGGCGCAACTTCCTAGATTGGTTGAAGTTAAACATTAACACCGTTGGATGCCGGCTCAAAGGTCTAATGGTTAAGTGCTCGCGCGCGAAACCAGTAGGTCCTGGGTTCGGATCCCGCGGGGTGCGGGATCGTGGATGCGCACTGATGTGGAGTTCCATACCAGGAAGAAACGGCCGTCCAGTGCTTCCAGGTTTTCCATGGTGGTCCAGCTTCAATTGACTCATGATTTCAACCAGTGAAATTTCTAAAAGTCTTCACAAAGCAAGATTTTTAATATTACGATATGTATTGTGAAAATAGTAAACATTATGAATTATTTTGATAATATAACTTGAATGTTGTTTGTGTGACAGGAGTTTTCAAAAGGTTAATGGTTGTAAGTTAGTCCTAATATTGAAAATTATTACATAAAATTCCAAATAATGATAAATTAACAATGCGTTTTTTTTGGAATAACTTAAACAAGATATTAACATAATTCATTTTACTTTCATTGAAACAGAATTATGGAATTAAAATAGAACTATGTTTTACCAGGGCTAGTATGTAGGTATTTTAGTGAAGTAGAATGGTAGCTAACACTGGAATTCAGAACTGGCATTTCGCTATACTTTGAACTTGTTATCTGGAAGTACTTAAATCCTGCTGTTAATCCTCACACAGAGACTTGAACCCAGGATATTTTGCTTCGGACGCCTAATGCGTCCCGCGCTAGACCGTCATCCTATTATCAGTTTCCAATAGGACGAAGCGTGTGTCGTGGATTTCACTCCTAAGCACTATCTAACTTACCTAAAAATTGCTTATGATTACGTGATAATATCGAAGCAAACTGCTAAGGAAGCATATATACCAAAAGCGACTGATCAGTCGCAGTCCCTGAAAATCAACAACGAGAAGACACAAACACAAATATTGCAACTATTACAAATCAATAATTTATGGTGAATTACTTAAGTGATTTTACAAGGTAATTTTACTTGAATCTTTATAACTTGTCTCTGTGGTCTATTCAACGCTTTTAGGATATTGAATATAGGTCCACTCTATAATTAATCCACTATTAGAGGTACTAGAATGAATTACGATAAAGATGACTCCCTCACTACTTTCTTAGAACACAAAAATCTACAAACTTCAAGATTCTAACAAAATATGATTGCAGAAATTCAACAAATGTTTTTTCAGGGCAACTTCAGTTGCAGTAACTAACTGTATTTTGAAATCATTACCGGTGCTATTAAAGTTTTAAAGGGATGTCAGAAAGATCCCAAAACTAACACTGACATAACTGCTTTATCAATCAAATTATAAACACACAAGCTTTCACACTTCAGCACGAAGTTTCCAGATTCCTGACTACCTTAAAACAATTTGTGGCCATTTTCGGCTTCTCAGAGTTTTTAAGAACATTTATAAGCGTTTTAGGAGTTCATTGATAAAGAATGGAATTTAAATTTTCATATAGGTTGAAATGTTAAATATGTAATGTTTCATGTTACAAAGCAGTTTACTGGAAGGATTAGTTAGATTTATGCATTAACACTAACAGGAAACTAATTATAAATCTATATCACAATTGATTGATCACTGGGTGGTGATCAATGTCATGCTTGTCTAGTCCTTATTAGTGCAGATCGAATGCTATCGATCATGTTGCAATGTGGCCACCAGTCTAGGTGACTCGACACTGCGGGCACTATGTATTGAGATTTAGATGGTGGTTGGAGGTAGTCAATAGGGTTTTCTGTTGACTACCTCCAACCACCATCTAAATATAAATCTATATAAATATGATGAATTTAGCTGTCTAATTCATTCGTGATGTAAGTGAACCATTGGTGCTAGTTGTATACAATTCTAGTTGATCTTTTCGTTAAAAAATTCAGATTCTGAGACAGGATGATTAAGGTTGTCACCTTTTGTACGGTTTGAGTCCTTCAATTTTTCTTGGAGAATGATAATTGGGAAGAATGAGTTACGTACCATGGTGAGATAAACTTGAAGGTAACACATAGTCAAAATGACAATAAAAACTAGAACACATCTCTTTTGGATTAGAAAGTAGACGTTGGTAATTCACTAAACCTAAATTTACAACTAGAAAAAGTAGAGGGGTTAAATAAGTTTCTTTCATCCAATGTGATGTGACGTTTCTTTATTTATATATGTTACTTACTTACGCCTGTTACCCCCCGTGGAGGAGCATAGGCCACCCATCAGCATCCTCCATCGAACTCTATCCTGAACAACCCCTTCCAGTTACTTCCAGCTGTTACTCATCATTTCCATATCTGCTTCTATTATCCGACGCAATGTGTTCTTTGGCCTTCCTCTTTTTCGCTTCCCTTCAAGATTCCAAGTTAGGGCTTGTCTCGTGATTCAGTTTGGTGATTTCGATAATGCATGTCCTATCCACTTCCAACGTCTTTTCCTGATTCCCTCTTCAGGTAGAAGCTGGTTTGTCCTCTCCCTCAGAAGGCTGTTGCTGATGGTATCCGGTCGACAAATGTTGAATATCTTGCGTAGACAACTGTTTATATATACTTGTACGTCTTTAGTGATAGCTGTAGTAGTTCTCCAAGTTTCATCTCCGTTCATTAGAACTGTCTTGCCGTTAGTTCTGACTATGGTGTTAATTGTCAGTTGTTTTGAGTTCCATATGTTCTTCAAAATGCCACCTCTATAAATATTACCATTATAAAGATATGCTTACAATCACGATGCCACAAATTCAAGGATGAAAGGAGTTTGTTTTTTTATTAACCACTTTCTTTTGTTTTAATAAACAATTACGAAAAATGTTTTCTTTCAGTTTTTCATTTACTATAATTACTTATCTCTTCATATTTTTATTAATTCACTATGGGACTCGGACCCATTACCATTTGCTTCAAACGCCATCGTGTTGTTCACTTAGCTTCTGAGTCCTGATAGCCACTTGCTTGTGCACTATCCATCTTTGCTTATAATGCTTGTGAATCAAGTCAATATCTAGGCAATACGCATAGTATGCACATATGCTAATAAGAGACTGATCAATTGCAGTCGTAAACATCAATAAGAAGATTCAAGTAAAACAATACCAAGTGAATTTATTTTGGTCATGTCTTTTTTAAATTGTTTACTCACAATTTCAAATATTCTCCCTTGATTTTATTTTTTGTTTAAATTTATTTTAGATAAGTTATTATGTCAGAAATAAAAAAGTTTACACGATCATATTTTAATCGAACATTCTCCATGATTAAAGTTAATATTTATGATTCAGATATTATAATGTTGAATCATTGGACTAGTTATACACAACCAGATCCTATTTATAATTATTTCATTGCAATACTTGTTGCATTAATTGGAATTGTTGGAACAATAACAAATTTATTTGTAATATTTGTGTTTTTGACGTAAGTTACGTTTATTACATTTATGATATATTTGTATTATATACATAAAGAAAACATTTGGTATTAGAAAAGAATGTGAATATAATTTTAAGGTTTATTTGTCATTCTTAATTTAATTCTAGGAAGGATAATGATTATTTCAAGTAAATCATATTATGTGCTTACTAGTGACTGGCTTCGTGAGGGAATTCTCGAAGTTCTATTGGGAAGCTGTGAATAGTGGAGCTAATTCGTTTTAAGTAGAGACAAGTATCTACCTCAATACAATGGAAGATAGTCGTGCAATTTCGTGAATTGGTTGAGGTTAGACATTAACACTGTTGGATTCCGACTCAGTGGTCTAGAGGTTAAGCGTTCGTGCGTGAGACTGAAGTCCCTGGGTTTGAATTACGCTCGCGGGATCGTGGACGCGTGCTGTTGAGCAGTTCCGCAATAGGACGAAAGGGCCGTCCAATGCTTCCAGGTTTTCAGTAGTGTTGTAACATCAATCAGTTCACGATCTCAATCAAAAACTTAGTATGGTGGAGAAGATTTGTAGCTCAGGTGGATGATTTTGATGGAGTTTTGTTCTCTGAGCTGGAGCAGCTCAGAGAACAAAACTCCATCAAAAACTTAGTATTCTCCACACCTCTATACTGAAAGTCATTTAGTTGTTATTTTTATTCGAAACTCTGCCTTCACAGTCTCAATTTTGTTTAAAATTGTAGGAAAATATGAATTTTCAACAACAACAAGATGTCTGTTTCCAAAAGATTTTCTAACTATAAATATACATGTAATTCAACATAAACTTTGCGATGTAAAATAGTCAAGAATTCAGTTTCAGTTTGGAAAGGACAGGAGGCTTGATGGCCTGTGTTAGTCCTGGCAATGGTGGCCTCAGGTGATCCAACTTTCTTTTCAAAGAGTCGACGGAGGGAGCCTCAACTACGTGCTGAGGTAATGAATTCCACTCGTTGATGATTCAATGGGAAAGTCGATAGTCAGATGACAAGTAATTTGTTCTGGGCTTGTGAACTTTTTTGAAGTGTCCTCGTAAATCCTCTGTTTTGGAAGAAAAGAAAAATGGGGGCATATCAGGTGCAAATTTATCACTAAGCAATTTGAAAACTGTAATCAAGTCGCCTCTAGTTCTACGATATGACAACAGGAAAAGGTTTAGCGTGACCAGTAGAGCATCATACAGAAGCTTCGCTACTCTGAGAATCAGCTTAATCGCCGTTCTCTGAACCTTTTCCAGAAACTCACTGTCTTTTTTTAAGCAGGGGCTAGTCGCTTGTGTGCAGTACTCAAGTTTAGGACGTACAAACACTTTATACAAAGTCAAAAACGTCTTAGCGTCGACATTACTAAAAGCCCTACGTATTGACCATAAGGTTCTAAAACCTTTGGTGGCTATTGCACGGCAGTGTGCAGTAGTTTTTAAGTCTTGGCTAACGATGACTCCTTAGTCATTATGTGTTTAAACAACAGGTAGCTCAGTGTTATTCATTGTGTATGTGTCCGTACCTTGATGACCGATATGCATCACAACACACTTGGAAGTATTTATCGGCAACTGCCAGGTTTGAGACCATTCAGATAATTTCTTCAGGTCATTTTGGAGTTCTAAGCTATCACCCTCACATCGTATCGTTCTCCATATCTTGATATCGTCAGAATATATCAGGACCGATGGTGATAGGAGACGAGGAAGTTCATTTACATACAAGAGGAATAGCATTGGCCCCAAAACTGTACACTGAAGCACTCCCCTAAGCACAGTTTCCCAGCTAGATAACTTTGAGTTCACCCGTACTCTTTGTTGGCGCCCAACTAGGATGTCTTTTATCCACATCAATAGATTGCCTCCAATCCCGACATTTCTTGATTTATATAACAGCCGGTTGTGCCGAACTTTGTCAAAAGCTTTGCTGAAATCAATGAAGGTTACGTCTACAGGTAACTTTTGGACCTTAAGAGCGCACCAGCTTTCACGAGCGACGAATAAGTTAATGAGACAAGAATAACCTATTATGAAACCGTGCTACTTCTCCGAAAAGATTCGGTTTTCATTGGGGTACTTAAACAGCTCCTTCCGAATAATCTTTTCTAAGATTTTAACAACCACACTAGTTAGGCTAACGAGTCGGTAATTCTCAGGTTTATGTTTCGTAACTGTTTTGAAGACAGGACTTACTATGGCGTTCTTCCAGTCTTTTGGTAAACGACCCTGCGTTACGGATAGATTAACGCATATACTTAAAGGGTTTGCAACAAAGTTAGGTAATTCCTTTAGTAGCCTAGGATGCGATTCACAGGGCCCCGTGGATTTACCTATGTCAAGCTTATTTAGCAGACCAAAGACATTGAGTTCCTTAATGGTCATGCTATCCAGTGTATGTGTGGGGGGATTTGTATGCACTGACGTGAAGGGTGCTTCTATGGTATATACATCGCTAAATTATTTTGAGAACACTTGAGCCTTACCAAAGTCGTCCTCCACTAATCATGTGACAGTACTGTCTTCCCATAGTGCAGAAATATTTCCTCTTCTTTTTGTCCTTTGGTTTATAAAGGAATACCAGCGTTTAGGAAATTCTATGGATTCCTTAACAATTTTTTCTTCGTACAACTTTCTAGACTTACGGAGGGTCGAGGCACAGGTATTCATAGATATTATCTCATTTACAAATAAAATGATATTAGAAAATTAAAGTGTATTATTTTACTGTTAAAAAGATTTAGCAATATCTATCATTATTGTAAGCTACAAACTTCCGCTACTGATGAAGTTCTGTCATGATAAGTTAATGAAAGCAATACAGAGGCCAAATATCCAGTGAAAAAAGAATGCTATATACCGACTGTGAATGATGGTTCCTATAGGAGGATAAAAACTATTAGTAACTTTATATAATATTTTTGTAAACTTTTGTGGTGTTACAACATACTACCAACTTCAAATTGTTATCTTTTTCATTATTTCATGCAATATACAACATAATCATATCACGATAAATTATTTTACAATTCTTCTTAGCATTATTTTCAAAGATTTTTGTCAAAATGCAACAGCATTAACATTAGAAAACATTTATTGAACTATCAAAACAGTCCTTATAAGTAGATGTATACTGACTTGTCAAATACATGGTTGAATCGATTCGTGAAAAATACAATCTTAGCCATGGTTTTTTAAGTAAAGTATTTAAAATCACGGTCCATTTATTCTTGTTCGGGTCAGTATAGAGATGCATGTATATTCCTATGAGTTATGTACAGATGGATTCGGCCTTCAGAATAAAGCTTCTCAGATATTTTTATTTTCTTTGTTATTAAACAACAGAATTAGTCGAGTTAAAAGGCATATGATTGTGACTGGATTGAACCGTGAGGTCACAACAGGTGTGCTAAATGATTTTAAAAATGTTATAAATTAATTGAAGTTGGAAATACCAAGCACTCAGGTTTCACTCCATAGTCAAAGGGTATCATGACTATAATAACCTTTACAAGTTCTTAGGGATACCAAACTAAAACGAAACGGACGTCCAATGCTCCCAGGTTTTCCATGGTGGTCTAGCTTCAAATGACTCATGAATCCAACTATTAAATTACTATAATATCCACAAAACCCCTCTATGATTATAGGACAAAATAGTTGTTTACTGCTTCTCAGTTTTCAATTTTTCATCGATGGATCATAATTCATGATAAAAAATATTACCAAATAGAGTTATCCAGTCAAAATCACGCAATATTATTGAAGCAAGCTATCATAAAGAGATTGATAATCCATTCAATAGTCTGCTGGAAAACAAAACTTAATATTTTAATATAACGATATTAGGATTTAAATTAATGCCTTATTCAATAAGTAAAGATTTATTGGGAATTAGAAGGTATTTGAGCATATTGTAAACAGTATGTTTAATTAAGTCAAAGAAATGATATTAATTTACAGTTAGCAATGAAACATTATTCCATAAATTTTCAATTGAGATAATTATAATGTTTATCTTGATTTAGTAGTTTTTACCAATAGCAGTGATAATGTTTTTTGTGTTCATTCCTGTAAATTCTTGGGTTATGAGGATTGGTGTAATTTAAAAGAGTAATAATTATTATCTTATAAGCAACTTTGTTGAACATGTATACATTTTCAAATAAATTCTGCATTTAAACAGTGATAATTCAATTATCGACATGTTGAATATAGATAAGAAAACAATCTAGGTCATTGAAATTTCAGCTTCCTTGATAAATTTAACTGAAGGTGACAATTAAAAAGGAAGGAAAACGCAGATGTTCCATTTTTTGCACATGCTTAAAACATCAGGAATATGACAACAGTTTTTATTCATATTAGTACAGTGGCCAGTGTCTAAAAGTTCGAGTGGAAAATAGGGCACATTAATAAGGGTGACCATCAAAAAGGCTTTTATTATTTGAGATAAGCAATGGAAAGAGAAATAAAACTTGTAAGTGTGTGAGATCTACTCTATATATTCCATGTTCCATTACCTTTGTGATCAATCGAAAACGTACTTTTTAACATCTAGTGAAGAGTCTATTTTCAAAGAATTTTGTAATTTTCCGAATTTGATGACAATTTGTAATTCTTATTAATCCAGTCATGTTATTTAGTACTACTTTTTCAGACAGCCATTTTTTATATTGATAGATCTCCCTTATAGGCTGAATAGTTACCGACATGATGGGTTGGGGTCCACTTGCAGTCTTCTTTTCTGATTAGTTAAACTCGAACTTTTCAAACATGGAGTACCACAACTTTGAAACAATAAGTATTTTTTGATGAGTGAAATGTCAAAAAGTTTACTAGACACAAAAACGGTTATTTAGTTAAAGCCCTACAGCAGAACAGTCTTGATAATTATTGTGTTGCAAATAATTAATAATCCTAGAATATAATATTCTACTTGTAAACGTAGTATTGATAAATTACATTTTAAATGAGAAGTAGCTTATTATGTGGTGTAAATTGGCAAATTTTATTAGTATCATAAAGAGATCACCTTTGAGCTGACATCACGATGGTCAGTGACGTTCAGTGACATAACTAACCAAAGGTTCAGTATTCTCTTCTTCGATTTATTTATAACCAAAATATTCTGAAAAATTATGATTTGAGAAGAGTTAAAGATAATTCAGTGAAGAAAAATTTACTTTCAACGATATTATTTTAAAGTAATCTGTCGTAAAATATAAGGAGTAGTACATAATTCCAAGGGTCAAAATTAGTTTGCATTGTGACCGAGAAGTAAAATAATAAGACAAAACCAATGTGTGAGAGATAATTGTTGACTTATTGTCTGTCGAACGCTTATTCTGTCTAAAATTCAGCACACATAAACCTCCCTTTACAAAAATTTTCCACTGGCTGTTCAAAATATAGGTATTGTGGTATGTGCTACTTATATTGATATAAGTAGTATATGTCGCTAGTTAAAATGTAATATCTGGCAGCAGAAGATGAGGTGAAGATCAAGAAAGAAAGAGCGAGAGCACAATGGAATTTGTAAGAAAACGTATGTACAATGGAATGGAAGACAATGGATTAGTGTTTGCAACGGAAACAGTCCAGTTTGATATAATGCATTGGTATTTTGCAAACTGACGATTGACTTTATGGTAATCAGATTTTAATGAGATAGTCTGTGATTTCATGCTGCATGCATTTGTTTGTACCCACCCGTGCTCTTGTTCACTACGGTATGACATAACATTGAATGGGGTAATAAGAATTACAAATTGTCATCAAATTCGGAAAATTACAAAATTCTTTGAAAATAGACTCTTCACTAGATGTTAAAAAGTGCGTTTTCGATTGATCACAAAGGTAATGGAACATGGAATATATAGAGTAGATCTCACACACTTACAAGTTTTATTTCTCTTTCCATTGCTTATCTCAAATAATAAAAGCCTTTTTGATGGTCACCCTTATTAATATGCCCTATTTTCCACTCGGCCTTTTTGATAATCATCCTTTTACTCGCACCCCTTAAAATGGATGTTGACAATCAATTTTACATTTTCTGATTTTATATTCATAGCGTATAGTTAAGATATTTTTAAGTGCGTAAACACTAGTAGTATGTATAATGTAATCATCTTATTTTGATACATGATAAATTTGTCTACATAAAAGCTATTTTCACACTTATGGTAGTCGATGTTTCGTTGATGTATTAAAGGGACTATGATTTGTGGACGACCCAATGGAATTAAAGATAGAATGTTTTGGAGGTTGGCGCGAAATTAATTCATTTAGATGATTCAAAAGCATCTGGGCATGATAGCTGATTTCAGTACGTAATAAATATCGTAATTTCTAACTCCAGCTCTTAACACTTCATCGTAGTCCTAATTTCTCACACTAATTTATTGCCCTTTTCAACAGTGATAAGTTGGCAAATTTTCTCTAGGTAATTTTAGCAACGCTCCATAAAATGTGGTCTCGCTGAAGTATTTTATACCCGTTAGTTTTGAGACAGATAAAACTCACGCTAAAATGCAACTTATTAACAAAGAGATTTCACTAAAGAATTTTTTGTCATTATAAGTATTCATATTGCCATTGAAGAAGCGAAACTACTGTCCAAAATCAATGTGCGAAGTGATAAACAAATGAAATCAATGATCGAAAATTCACTGTCACTGTTCAATTAGAAGCAATACGCATATCGATGATAAGCAGTCCGAAGTACTGGCGAAAGCTTTCTATCTTCCTGTTAACAAATGTAAGTCATAATACAAAAAGGAAGGTATTTTAACAACTGATTTATTAACTGAAACATTTCTGTATCACACAGCATAAATGCGAATTTCATGTTTAACAGCGAAATATACAGACATTTGAATAGCTTAGTAGTGGACTCACGACCCAGTCGCTTTTTCATAAATAAACTATAAAACAAGAGATTTTCCCAGCTTATTGAAAAGTTCTCGTTTTACTACCGATATAAAATAATATATTCACTATTTGTAAGGATGATACTTATTTATAATATGTCAGATAAATCTACATAGCTGTAAAATAAAGCACGAATAAAGAACTCGGTCATACTCCGATTTCGTGCATTTTAAAATATAATAATAAATTAAAAAGTTAAGTCATACGATTATGCTGTGAAAGAAAATAAGTTTGTTGAGATGATTTTACTTTATGTATTAATTTATGTTTTATTGTGAGTTAAACGTTATTGAATTATCTGTTGAACATACTCTTTGTTGTTTTCAGACCAAAATCATCAATTAATCTACAATGGGCTTTGATTATTAATCTGGCTATTTCTGATTTTGGATTTTCAGCAGTGATTGGTTTTCCTTTAAAGACAATTGCTGCTTTCAATCAATACTGGCCATGGGGAAGCGTGGGTATGCCAAGAATATGTAGAATGTACCAGAAACAGTCATTTAAAGCAGAGATTCATGGTGGCTAACAGTGGAATCCAGGATGATTGTTTCATCACATTTGGGGCTTGTCAGCTAAATTTATCTGCATCCTAAAGTTAATACCAATTCTAGAACTCAACTTCAGTACCATTCACTTCAAACGCTATCACGTTATTCACTTAGATACATCCGGCTGATGAGTCTCAAGTAAAACGAAACACACGTTCTGGATTCCTGTGTTAGCTACCACCCATTTCCGCTTATAATCCCAGTGATCTAAGGCAATATCGGGGTAATCTGCACAGAATGCACATATGCAAATAAGAGACTGGTCAATTGCAGTCTAAAACGTCTCTGGAAAGATTCAAACAACCAATATATAGAAATGAATTAGGAAGAGTCATTGTTCTTTCTTAATCATTTTCTGGGTCATATATGTATTTTCAATATTTTTTAAATAGGTTTTGTTAAGATCAATATGTAAATATATGTATGTGTTGCTTTGTGATTCTGGAATTTTTAAGTTATAAATAACTGATCAAAGGAGGGGGGAACGTGCAAAGAGAAAAGGAGCGCAATAGTACTTATATGGAACAAAGAACTAGTTAGACCAAATGGGTTGACTGTAACTGTTCAGATAAATCTAACACAATCAAAGCATTACAAACAGAAATAAAATGATTGAAAATGTAAATAATGTCATTTCTTATGCCTAGCAAACATTAACGTTATTAAGGAATATTTTCATGAGTTAGAATCTCTGAAATATTGAACCATTTACTTGATGAAAGTTTCACTTGAATACTTAATTTTGCTCTGATATTGTCATGAAATCAAGTATAATGAAATTCTAATTCAACAGTATACCATTTGGACATTAAAAATAATCTCAGTAAAAGTATAAAATATCTCTAGAATCTTCTTTAAACCTAAAATTAAATCCTTAAACGTAAATCTAATAAAAAGGTTATGGTATTTTGTTATTTCTAGTCTCATAGATTTGTCGAAAACTGCATACATTATATATAGCATAGAAAGGGGTTCTACTTTATTCTGAACATTTCAGGGCTTTCATATTCTTATATATCAAACTGGCAACAAGGAAACTAGATCTAATGAAGATATTTGTTACAAATGTTTGATTCGTAAAAATATTGAGCATTTCTTAGGAAAAAAAACGTTAGATGTAATAGTGAGTCATAAACTTTATAATGGGTTCAAGGCCTGTAAAAAATAAGCGACTTTAATTCATTTATTTTGATAAATATTAAGCAATCCATCTTTAATATAGTGGTTGCTAATTTAATATCTGGAAGTGTCATTCTTATTATGTACAAATCGACTCTGTTGGATCTTTAGTCTTACTGTTTAGACATGACAACCGGGAATTCTGTCTAATGTGTAGAACTTGGAATAATTCACTGAAAATATATAAATTTTGTTTAAATCAATACCAAATATAAATAAACTTTTATGAAGTATAATTTTTTTTATTTTCAGCTTGCCAATTATATGGATTTATCAGTGGTACATTTGGATTTTTATCTTTAACAACTATTGCTGCAATTTCATTTGATCGTTATTTAGTTATAGTTAAAAACTATAAGACTGAAAATTTTCTGATCATCTGTACTGTTATAGGATTTTTATGGATATGGTCAATATTATGGACTATTCCTCCATTCTTTGGTTATGGTAAGTTCAAATAATCGTTTTTTTTGACAGGCATTACGCATCATATTTTATCTACGTTAAACTGGGTCATAAGTTAAGATCTTACAACTCATTTTAACTTATCATCACATTATGTATTCTATACTTTAAAAAAACATACTCATCTAAATAGAAATATAAACAAATGTCATAAGGAAATACGTAATATGGTTTCAAAATGGTGTACATGGTTTCTTTCGAGAAATACTCATTGGATATTACATGAATTACAGTTTAATTGTTGTTTTGTTTACAAAGAATACAGTGTGTGAATGAATAAAAATAAATAAATAAATAAATAAATGTCACTTAATATATTGTAAAGTGTCATATATTTATATGTAGTGCTTATTATTTTTTATTATAAAAATTGAATCAATTCGTTGAGGATTCACTCAAATATGTTATCCAATTGGAGGAAGATACAATGAAACTCAAATCTATTTTCCCAATGTTTATGTAGATAATACACTTGGTATTGTTTAGCTTGTATCTTCCCATTGAGGTTTAAGACTGCAATTGGTTAGTTTCTTATTCGCATATGTGCATACTGTGCGTATGCCTCGATATTACTTTAATTCACAAGCTATTTGTAAGCAATGATGGATAGTGGCTAGCAGTGGAATCCAGGACGCGCGTTTCGTCCTATTTGGGACTCGTCAGCTGGATGTACCTGCATCTCAGAGTTGATGTTCACTCTGGGACTCGAACCCAGTACCATTCTCTTCAAACGCCATCGCGTTATCTACTCAGCTACTGAATGCTGATAGCCACTTGCTTGTGGAATGGGGTGAATTTGAATTCACTTGGTATTGTTTGGCTTGTATCTTCTCATTAAGGTTTAAGACTTTAGATAGATGTATCTAATTAGAATTATGTTGTTAAGCGGTTATTCTAAATTATGAATACTTTATTTATTCAAATTAACTTGGTAATAAAATGAAATAAATATACATTACATGAAAATCTTCAGGGATTTATGAGGTTATGTTACTATTATTGACTGTTTAGTAAACATCCGTATTTTAATAATGAATAGCTCCAAACATTTCAAGAAACATTAAAATAACTATGTAATCAAAATTAAAAATATAAATACTTATTTCATAAATTATTCCTTGTAAAATTTCTCTTTTCTAAAATAACAACTGAAATACATGTCTCAATTTCAAGATATTACGTAACCAATTAAATAATTTACTTTCTGCATTGTTTGCGTTTAAGAGTGAAGTGTTGTCAAAAATAATAAAATAAAGTCAGTATATTTATTGCTTCATATTTTACTTGTGTTTAGGACGTTACGTTCTTGAAGGATATCAAACATCATGTACATTTGATTATATTTCGAATGATATGCCTAATCTTTTATTCAGTTCTGGAATGTATGTATTTGGCTTTACGTTTCCAGTGCTTTTATGCATATATTGTTATGTGAATCTACTTAAAGTTGTTCATAACAATGAAAGGATAGTATTAATATCTTTATCTAATGATGGTTCAGCGAAACAACATAGATCCATACGAAGTAAGTAGACTCTGTTATAAAAAGTTTTTGCCCTAGAAATAATTGCGGAAATAAATTGAATTTATGGTGTAAATACGATGTCTAGCGGTGGAATCCTATTCGAGATTCGTCAGTTGGATGTACCTGCTCCCTAGTTGATGTTTATTTCGGGACTTGAACCGTTCACTTCAAACGCACGTCCTGGATTCCACCGCTAGCCACCATCATCTCTATTTATAGTGCTTATGATTTAAGGCAATATCGAGGCTGTTCGCACAGAATACATATTTGCCAATAAGAGACTGATTAATTGCAGTCTTAGACGTCAATGACTGAGTTATCTCTGCTGACGAATTAGGGCTAGTCAACTCAACCCTTAAAGAAAAATAAATTTCTGAATATGATAGTATTGTTTTATACAACACGGATATGCAATACAAGGTAATGGTAAGGTTTTAATAATATATAAGTCACTATATTCAGTTTAGGTCTAGTCGAATTAAAGATAATACGTGATTTGTTTGGAATTATACTGTTTTATTTTGCATGTTTTGGATTTGATCTCCATTAAAAATCATTCTTGAACTCACTGGTATTGTATACCATTATTTTATCAATCGATAAGTGTACGTCAAAAAATCAATATGAGAAATTACTAGACATTTTTAAAGATAATTAAACACACGTATAAGAGGCTATCAGATGCACTCCAGCAATTCGTTTAGAACAGATGACAACCATTTATATTCATCATTTATGAAACCCAAATTAAAAAAACGAATTATAAAATTTAACTTAATATTAATTTACAAATATACCTACGGAATAATAATTTAATTTGTTAAGATATTAACAGAAAGCAGAGACTATTCTCTTTTATATTTACTTAGCAAAAGGTTATACTGCCTATTTAGGTAATACTGATGTTTATTCTAATATTAACAGTAATGAGAGTGTGTTCTTGTGTTCTTATATTCTTTAATGATCAAAATCAAACTTTTGCTACTCGTTTAAACATTCTAGTTAGTGGTCGAATATTTCCAAATATACAGTGTTGGTACTTCACAAGGTTAAGCAATTGTCAATAGATATATGAATTTTCTGAGTTTCCTAACTAAATAATAAGTTCCAGTCTAAAAAAGAAATGAAATTAAGTACCTTGTTGTAATAGTTATAAATTCGCTCAAATGTGAGTTTTGTCGACGATCAAAATATACGTAAAATCATTAAGCCTACTGAATATATATATTTTTTTGCTTGTTTCCTATAACCAGACAGAAAACGTTTAGATATTGAAGCTACCAAATCAGTTATACTTTCTCTCTTATTTTATTTAATGTCATGGACACCATATGCCATAGTCTGCCTTATATCAATTATGGGTCAATCATATTTTTTAACACCAACAATAGCTGAAATGCCTCATATATTTGCTAAAATGGCAGCTATCTATAATCCAATTCTATATGCATTCACTAATCGAAAATTCAAGAACGCTTTAGGAATACGAAAAACTAGCAGCGTAATCATGCAGCAACAAAGATTACTGTCACAAGGACTATTTAAACCACTGGTTAGTCTTTTACTGCTATTTAAATGACTAGTGATAGTCTTTTTGAAGTTAGTTTTGAATTAGTTTAAATTTTTTACTTTAAACTACAGTGCCTCTTGGTCAATTGTTTTAATTACAGTACTAACGTAGGTTTCTTCTTATTCCAAATATCCCATTTGGATTTAAGCGTGAGTTTACCAGCATATCTTTTATTCGAATTTCTATTAAAATTTATCTGATAAGTAGCTCAGAATCCACTAATCAGTTAGTGAATAATAACTGATGTCACGTAGTTTTTGTATCGATCAATTTCTAGCTGTCTGGTCATCAGATTTAATGGACCGTTATCGTGATCGGTATAGAATATCTAAATGCCAATGTTTTGACTGTGACAACGGGTGGTGTAAATTATGGCTACTCACGCGTGTAAACGAGTAATAACATAAAAACTAAGCCTAGAGCTTCTTGTAGAATTCTTCAGACTATCCAACTTAAACGCACATTACTGAAGAACGGGCGAAAAGTAAAATAGTAATTTACTTATATCATCAATATGGTAATTTCCTCAATATTATAGTCGACATTTGTGTAACTGCTAGATAATATGTTTGAATTTTTAACGTTACAGATTTGTGCTAAATTTTGATATTAACAATACGATAAACTACTTTCAAAATTTAAGTAACATAGTTATTTTCTAGAAAGACTTCCAACCATGGAAATTTGTATTTACGAAACAGTTTGCGATAGCTGTCATGTCGTCGAATAAAGAGAGAATATTTCGGGGGGAAGAACGTCACGTAATCACCAAAAAGTTAGTGTCAGGGTATGAAAAATATGTGCCTTTATAAATGGCATGTGGATGTCATCATGGACAGATGCGACAAAACCGAAGACCTTCTCCAAAATCCCAGTAGGCTTTCACGTGAAGAAGAAACAAATAAACAGTTTTGACTTCCAAATTTACTCATAAGTGGCAGAAATGGTTCAGTCGAATGATAAGTATATAGAAAGCCTACATGGACAGATAGCATTTCTGTCATTCTAGTGATGGCCTATATAAATACAAACAAGCTTCATAAAGGGCCTGTTGAATAGAACTAACTGATGTGTACAGACCATACTACTAAAGACGAGATGGAGTCTCTAAAAGAAAGATTGGAGGGGAAGAAGTTTACCTACCAAATATCATAAATCGATGAAACCGCAATTTAGTGCCATATATTGTGATTCTCGCATCTGAAATACTCATCTACATCACTCTAGCATTCAAAGGAGAGTCAAATAGCCTCGTGTTGAATGAATAATTAAATCATTTATGTAGTCCATGCTTCACAATAAACCTAAATAGCCTGAATCACATCCCTCTGTGTTTATCAATTTACATGTATATGAACAAACATACATTGAGAGGAGAAATCGCGATATGAAAGGTAGAGGATAATTGATCATGTACCAAAAAGGTCGAAAAAAACAAACTGTGAAATGACCCAATAATAGTCTATGATAAACACCGGTATTTTTCTATCATCGAACTCATAATTGAAATCAACAACAGGATTGATCACAACTAGGTCTTTATGGTTTTGTAAAAATGTTGTTTAAAGTGTATATTTATTTTGCAGAATTAATCATTAAAAAAAAGTTCAAATTCTTTTTAATTCAAAATCAACTTGTAATTAAATCAAACCTAACCTAATATGATTGTTTTGCTATTCATAGTTTATATTGTTTTCCTTTATTATCTTTGTTTTTCTTTTCCTTTAATTTACTTAATTTGAGCCTTATCTTTCAAATATAAATATATTAGCAAGTAAATATGTGACCACATTGTCTGAGTCGTATCCGGTCAATACATCGCATGGTTCAAATAAACATCATGTTACCTAAAGTTATTATCTTCGCCTACTTAATTTTGAAGCAACTTAATTTAACATTAATATTATTATCAACGTATATAACTGGATCCAATTTATCTGTGTAATTATTTTCATTCATTAAACAGTTATCGAAATATCTTTTACCACAGAAGACAAGCAACTGTAAGGGTTTAGACGGATAATTCAATTATTAGAAAATCATTTTATTTATCAAGAAATTGTCTGATTAAACTGATAATTGACTAACTTTAAATAAGTATTAAGTATAGTAGAACAAATATTACTAAAACATTAACAAATAAGTCAACTCAAATGTGTACCAATATGCATAAAAATATTACAGTAACTTTATCTTATAACTAAATTACTTGGTGAATAATTTTTACAGAGAGGATTTTTGTTGTTGTTGTAACACTCAAAACCCTATGAAATAGTCAACTTTGAAGCCAATGTGGTTTAGAACTTATTCTAAATCATGACATGCATTCAATTATTATACTTGATTTACACTAAAAATTATCATTCAGACTTATTCTGAACCAGTTTATTAATATTTTACTGAGAATAAAGTTTATAATTATCTGAAGTTGAATGAAATTACCTTCATTACTAAAAAAGTAGCTGGATGTTCATCAGAAATCTAATTAATTTTATGTTTGTTATTCAAGTTTTTGATAAGTTCGAATTTAATTCACTTTTTGATTATGTTTGTAATACTTTCGAATTTATCTTTTTTAGAGTAATTAGACCATATAAGAAATGAAATGGAATTAATAAAAGACATTCAAAATCATAGAATAATATCTATATTGAATGATAACGTGAGCAATACAAATTAAAAGAAAGAAAACTTTTATTTAAAATAGAATAATTCTTAGTAATTACAATCGTATATTTTCTACATAATTTATACAACAACAAATAATTTAGGAGACTTTATAACTTAGAGTTGGTTATGTAATGAAAGTTTAATTCAATTGATGAATACAGGTTTTAGTTAGCATGCGCATAGGTGTTATGGCTTTAGGTTGCTGTCGATTTTTACCCTGTGCTAAGTGTTGTGTCCTTGACTGGAAAATTAGAGAGCAGCGTACTTATCGATCGATTACAGTGACATGTAAACACGTACGGACGGCCTAGAGTCTCGATTGGTCCCACTTCCCTGTCTAGCCCAGTTAGTTGAGTCCAGAACACAAGTCACAACCTCTGAGATATGAATCATTATATTTTAAACATACTTTGTTTATATATCAATCAAGCATACCACATCGTACCATAAAAATAGAAAACAACATTTTGTACAATATTCAACAAGTGAACAGATATCGACCAATAGGAAATGTCCATCTAAAGTCCAAGGACACCATTGGACTTAACATGATAATTATTGGTCTATTCCTCCGCATCCACAACAATAGGTAATACTGGAAATAGCTTTCTTTTGTATTATTGTGTTATTTTGAACTCACAATATAAGATATGAATTTGTAAAGCTTACCTGCAATGAATCAAGGATTTATCTGTTGTATAATTTCCTTCATAATTTTTTCTGTGTTTTGTCTACAGACTTGTTGAGATAAGAATTAGCTAAAATTTTTAACTTGAATACAAACTAAAAATAGCTAAATAGGGGGGAAATTACGATAGTTTCGCCGTTTGCCTCAAACTGTTCGTCTTTATGTTTAACAATAGTTAGCTAAATGAATGGATTATAAATGGAAGTATACAGACATAGACAATTTTGCTACATATAGCCATTTGTTGTGAACAAGTAAGTGATACATGGAAAAATCAATAAATAATCATCGGATTCAATTTTATGTGGTGAACTAAGCGCTACACTGTCATTATATCTGTCAGTCTTAAAATGTTCAGATGGTAATATAGAGTCTTTAAAACATGTGTGAATTGTGAGTTTGTTTAGGATTCCTAAGTTATTGATGATTTGGATTACATTAAATATGATTGGATAGTTAATTTCTCTCTGAAGTAAGTGGTAATGATTTTTTCTAGGAAGAAAATGAAAGCTTCAAAAATTCAACCGTTCTGCTGAAAGAGCTTAAAACCTTCAAAACCATCTTTCGTTTACACATGTCTCACAGAATCACTCAATTTGGTAATAATCATTCGGCTTACATTCAGATGTTATCCATTTGAACATTATACATTTAAATATTCAATATTGTTATGAGCAGTTTAATGAGTCAGTTATATTTTAATCTAAATGCCCACACAAAATATGTTTCTAAAAGAAAAAATACTTAATTAGTTAGGTAATTATCTAGCTAAATAGAAAAAAAGGAAGACAAAGGTCGTTACAGAATAATGGGAATCCACGTTGCTCGTTTATTTCTTTCAAGTACTTACAATCGAGAAACAAATAACAATGTAAAGGTTAACAACAATGCACGTACTTTATACGAGGACTGTGTTTGTTGAAAATGAGTTTGGTATTGCAGATATAGATTAATAAATGAAAAAAAATTGTGAAGCAATTTAAAGGTTTGTTTCAATGGTTGCCAATGTATAGGTTATATATATATATATATATACATATACAGAGAGAGTAATCAATTGGATGAAACTCATCGCTATACGTCAACTTCTTTGACTATGAGGGAGCGTTTGACAGTGTGGGTAGAAAAACGTTGTAGAAGTTCTTTGACAATATGGTACGTCTGAGAAGATTATCACCATCATACGGAATATTTTTGACGGACTACACTGCCATGTGGTTCATGGAGGACATCTGACAGATGTATTATAATTGAGGACCGCTGCCAGACAAGGTTTCTTACTCCCTCTTTCTATTTCTTCTGGTGGTTAACTAGATTATGAAGACCCCTACACTTGAGGGAAAGCACGGATTACAAAGGACAGCTTGAATGCAACTAGACAATTCGGACTTTGCAAATGACCTAGCTCTTTTATCCCATATACACCAAAAAATGAAGGTCAAAACAACCAGTGTAACAGAAGTCACTGGACCAATAGACCACAACATTCACAAGGAAGGAGCAAGATAACAATGAATAGCAACCAAATCATACATGATAGTGAAGTTCTGGAAGAGGTCGCAAGTTTTATGTGCCTGAGTAGCATCATAGGTAAACAAGTGGGATCTGATTCTAATGTGAAAGCATGGGTCGGCAAGGTTAGGGCGGCTTTCTTGCAATTAGTGAACATCTGCAACTCAAAACAGATACCAGGCAACATTAAAGTCGGCGTTTTCAATATTAACATCAAGACATTTCTATTGTTCGAAGCTAAAACGTGGAGAACTATTACAACCATAGTCACAAAGATATAGATGCTTATAAAAAGTTAATTATGCAAGATACTCTAGATCGATTGATCAGACACCATTAGCAACAACCGACTGTGTCAGAGAACAAGCCAACGTCTTGCTGAAGATGAAATAAAGAAAAGACGCACATTGCGGAAATCACCAAATCGCGTCACGAGACAAGTTGCAACTCGGAATCCTCAAGTCAAAAAGAAAAAGGCAAACCAAATACTACACTGCTCCGGGATATGAACACAGACATCAAAAGGAAAAGTAGTACTTGTGAACAACTGAAAAGACGAACTCAGGACAGAGTAAGCTAGATATCTCTGGTCAGCAGCCTATACTCCACAAGTGATAAATCGTGTAAGTAAATAAGGAGAAATAAGCTGAGAGAAGAAAGAAGACAGAAGTTTTTAGGAATGAAAGGATGCAATAATTAGAAATAAGATAAAGTTGGCTGGCTGAATACAGCTCGGATAAGAAATGATAAATTGTAAAAATAAAAGCTAAACAACATAAACTCATAAACGTGGTTATCGAGGCAAAGCGAGATTGATCAAAGTATCTTTATGGGTGAATGGATTCAGTTAAAATCTTTTTATGGCAGCTGTTTCAGCAGAACGTGATAAATTCAATGTTCTTGATTTATCAACTAACTTGTAAGACTCAAAAATTCTAGCATCATGTTTACCGGCGGTAAAATGACATACTGTCCGTTTAGGCTTAGATTCTGTGATGTGTATTCAGTGATATAGACATCTTAAGTTTACATCACAATACCGGATAAGAGGGTCTGGATGTGTTAAATCTAATCATATAATAATAAAGTTAGATGCTAGGATCTAATGTGTTTTTCAAGAAACGATCTTGTATACTCAAAAGACTTTTATGAAAGCATATTTCATGCATCATAATCTGATAAATAAAAAACTAAACTTTGCGTATTGTATTGCTATTTGGAACATAAAAATTACGGAAACTTTCAGTCATAGGTAGTTTTCTCATTACATTTATTAACTTACACGTACACCAACTCAAAAAGCATAGTTTGTAGATAATAAAGTCTTTCATTACTGAAGTGATTAGCAGCTTTGAGAATGAAATGTTGATGATAAATTTTCATTTCAAAACTCTTATAAACCTTTTTATATTTGTATATTAACGCAGTAATATGCTACATTTGTAAGCATATCAAGCGGATTTCAAAAGTAAGTAACACATAAACTATGTTTTCTTACATGAAAATTAAATGCATCTTTACTATTGAGAAATGATTAATGTAATAATTATTTTAACTAGTTTTCAACCACTATAATACTGGAAATAGGTAACAAAGATCTATGTTGATATAGTAAATATTATGAATAATTTTTAAACTCTATAATATAAAAGTAGCGATAACAAGGAATCAAGTAACTTGGTAAGATGATATCAGTAGTCACTCTAAGTAAGCAATAAAATTAAGCAACTGCAGCAATTTGGATGACTCTCTCGGTCTCCTATATTGTACGAGCATTTCATGTACCTGAATTATTGGTTGCTTTGGTTGTCAGAAAAAGCATCAGCCTCGTGACATCTGAAGGAACTCGGCTTTCACCATGAAGCGTCATAGTTCCTCGAATTAAAGATTTAACTTTCAGGGTAGAGTTTAAATGGTTTAAACTAGTTTTTCTGGTTAACTTTTTTAAGCGAGTTAGTTTTCTACGGGATAGTGTCGCTAACCCCATACCCAACCCTCCTCCTTTATCTGTGTTCGGGATTGGGAGTATCCCCAGAAGTGCTCCGAGCGGGATTAATAAAATTAAACACAACAAAACAAAACAAAAACTCTTTTATAACAAACGAATAATGTGTAGAATGGAAGAAAATAATCAAGAAATAATAAATCATAATCGATAAAAAAGAATATTTTTAATTCTAACTACATAATTAATGTCAACATTCCGTATGTGTCCGTATATGTCTCTTACATAATCATTAATAGAATACATTGATAACTTATTAATTTTGGTAAAATATTTATAATATGAATTAATTTGACTATCAAACAAAACATTAAGTCCTGTGTTCAAATCTCGCGAGGTGAGATGGTGGATGCGCACTACTGAGGAGTTCACCAATAAGACGAAGTAACTGTCTAGTGATTCCAGGTTTTCCATGGTGGTCTAGCTTTAACTGACTAATGATCTCAACCATTTTTAAAAAAACATAAATTCTTCAATGTTTGAAGAAAAAAAAGCATCATCAACAAAATTACCATGTATTCCTTGTTAAATTCATTTGGTCGGGTGAAAACAAAGAAAAAATACATATTTAATGTCATTTAAATTCTATCAAAATATATACGTCTCATGAGATAATTGACTTGGAACAATGAATTTATTTATCAAACAAAAGAAGTATCCATGAAAGTGTTTGTTAAGAAGAAAAAGAAGAAGAAGAAAGAAAGAAAGAGAGAAAAATTAAATATTCT